CAATACTTGGGAAAGCTCGACACCTTCCTGGGCTTGGGGGGGCGGTGAGTTGTGTTTTGTTGTTCTTATTCGCCTGTTGATTGATTAGGCATCTGGTTTATAGTTGTTCGCTGCAACACTTCGTGCAAGATATCATCCTGTTCTTTGCTAGCTTCCTCCCTCTGCTTTGGCTTGGCTGCTTGTGATTCGCTGTTCAGTTTGTTTCCTATTGCGCGCTTGCATCGATGTGCGCGTTTGTTCCCCTTTGTTTATTTGTTTTGTGTGTTGCGTATCTCTCACCTCTTGTGCATATGTTTCTATCGGTGTATTTGTTTCCCATGGTGTATTTGTTTCTCTTTGTTCGTTTTTGTTCGTTCTCCCTTTTGCATTTGTTTCCCTTTATTTGCACTTGTTTCCTTCCATATGCCTCTGCATTTGTCCACTGGAGATGTGTCTGCATCTCCAGTGNTTTATTTGCACTTGTTTCCTTCCATATGCCTCTGCATTTGTCCACTGGAGATGTGTCTGCATCTCCAGTGTATGTTTGCATTCGCTCACCGTAGTGTATCTGCACTTGATTCCCTTAGTGTATTTGTATTCGCATCCGGCGAGGGATTTGGCTTTATGAATGCGGTGTGTGTTTGTGTCCGTCGGGTTCTGTTCATTCTGTTTATTTATCTTTTTGTTTTCTCTCGCGAGTATTTCTCTGCGGTTTCGTAAGTTTGGTGCTCTTTGAATTCTCTCCTGCAGCACAGCTGCTGCCCTTGGTTGTTGACAACGCCTCATTTGCTGCTGCTGCATGTGCTGTTTCTGCTGCTGCTGACAGCTACGCCAAGATGCAGGCGCAAAGCCGTTCAGTGGGAAACAGCTGGCGGACGGCGTCTGCTGCAGTCCGTGCGGCTGTTGCTGCGCGGCAGCTGCAGCAACGTGAACAGAGGCGACAGAAGAAACAAGAAAAGGCCAGGAAAAACGCAAAAGAAGGCGAAACAATTCCTGAAGCAGGACCNGGCGACAGAAGAAACAAGAAAAGGCCAGGAAAAACGCAAAAGAAGGCGAAACAATTCCTGAAGCAGGACCTACCGCTGAAGATGTAATGCAAACAAACACTCAACTGCAAGGAGTTTGTTGTCTCTTACTGCCTCTTAGATCACTGCAATCCAATAACACAACCGCTACTCTGACACCTCACGCCTATTTCTTTCCTGCTTATTTCTGCATTTGTTTTCTCTGTATGCGTGTGTGCCCTTATGGCTCGTTTCCTCATTGTTGAACTTTGTTTTTCTCGCTGTATTTCTTTCGATGTTTCCCTTGCGGTCCTTCTCGTTTGAAGTGTTTGGTTTCTCGTCTTTTACTTGGCATTTACTCGCTCACGTTGAACAAACGCAAAAGCATAGACAGCAACAACAGAAGCAGCAATGACAGCACCAGCAACGGCGGCACAAGCAGGAGTAGCATAAGCAGCAGTACGGCAGGTTAGGACCTGAGCGATAGACGGAGTTCACGCAAGCCGGCATGCGTAGCATTTCGAATCGAGTTTTCTGTGTTTATGTGTTCAGATAAAGCAATTTGAGGAGACGCTGCCTCTGATCCTGGAGACGATGTTGAGTATTTGCCTCATGGACATAGAGACGACTGTCCGCGCAGCCTCCAAGAAGGTGAGGCAGCAGAATTCATTCCCCGCCAAGCTGTATTTCATAGGATCGATGTTTATGTTTAGTTGCATTGAAACAGAAAATGCACAGAAAACATGCCGGAGTGGTTGAAGGGGCGTGAGGTTCAGTGGATGCAAGGTAGCGGCACTGCCCTCGTTGGCATACATTTGTTTCCATCGTGCGTTCCTCGGATTCATCGAATTTTTTTTAGATTTGTATCGCTCTCGCTTTTCGGAGTCTGTGGATGCTGGAATGTTGCGACACATATTTCATCTATCGTTTCCCTGCCATTTGGCAGCTTAGTGGTGCTGTTGCTCCTGTTGCTGCTGCTATCTTTGGTGTTATTGTTTCTGGTTTTTTTTTTGCTGGTGCTGCCACTTAATAGGTCCTTAAAGACATGAGCGTCTCGGTTGAGGTGAGGCGCCTGCGGGCAGAGGCGCTCGTGAAGTTGGGCAAAGGAATTCAGCAGGAGACAGAGCGATTCAAGACGCAGCACAAAGACGATAAAGTCGATCCCCTCAGGCGCATGGAAGATGCCCTTATCAAGTCTGGATGCAAACACTGAACCCTAAACCTTTAACACGAACTTTAACACGAACCTGAACCTGAAACAGGAAACCCTGATGTGCACCGTAGCTCTCTCATTGCTACCTTCAGCACTGCTGCTGCTGCACCCTTTACTGCAGCTGCCTGTTAATTGTAGGTTGCTGTGTTGTGGCTGCTGCTGTGCAGGGCAGCGCAGAAGGCAGATGAGGAACGGTACAAGAGGGAAGGCGACCATACAGGGCCACCGACCCCGCCTGCAGCTGCTGCAGCAGCAGCAGCTGCTGCTGCTGCTGCCGCTGAGCAGCCGCAGCAGCAACCCACAAGCTCTTCACGAGCTGCGCCGGACTTCTTGTGAGATGAGGAGACAGCCTAGTGGGCAGCAGCTACGAGAGCAACGCCTGCAGCAAGGACAGCAGCAGCAGGTGATGCTGGTTACCGGTTGTGGCTGTCCCACACCTCATACATGCATTTGGGCACGANACAGCAGCAGCAGGTGATGCTGGTTACCGGTTGTGGCTGTCCCACACCTCATACATGCATTTGGGCACGAAGAGAGACATCTGCTGTGGCTGCAGCCGCTTGCAGGAACTTCATGGGGTGTATGTGCATCTGAATGCGACGGCAAAAGCAAGAGCGAACACAAGCAGCAAGCGCCGCAGGAGCCTCCCCCGCGACACCGCGTGGATCTCATCTGCTCACGAGGCCTGGCCTGGTGCTGCTGCACCTGCCGCAGCAGCAGCTGCTGCTGCGGATGACGACAGGGTTCTGTGTGTGTATAAGGGACAGGTTAAATGCCTAAACACTCGAATGCTCATATGCGCGGGCTGCGGCTCGCAGTGAGTCCTCCAGGCGCAAGCAGTTGCATCTATATGGTGACACCTGTGAATGCAGCGATTTGTTTGGTTTTGCTCGCCTCGGGAGAGACAGAGAGAGGAACGCGATAACGGGCAGATGCAGCACGTTGCTTGTTTGCTGTTGCTACTGCTGCGGCTGCATGCACTCACAGCTGCTTCCCCCCGAAGACCTTCGCAGTGTATGTACACCTCANGCTACTGCTGCGGCTGCATGCACTCACAGCTGCTTCCCCCCGAAGACCTTCGCAGTGTATGTACACCTCAGTGGGTGTATGTCGTGTTAAATGAGCCCTATTTGATATTAGCAAACGAACACAACGAAGTAAATCATAAACTCTCGAGCGTCAACCGCTGTATATATATATATATATATATATATATATACAGAGAGAGCACATGCATAATAAATGATTTACAGCTGAGGCAAAGTACAAGCGTTACAGGCATAGAAAATTTTAGAGCACGGAGAAGACCATGCGTTGCATGATGCTGGAGATTAGGACATTGAGACATCTACAGTGCCCATAGTATGGGTAGTTCTAGGGGAAGCCAGTTGTCGCGATCTAGGGCTGAGACGAACCAATGGGTACTGTAGTTTAGATGCAGATCACGTTTGGCATTTGGGGTAGAGGGCTTGGTGGTTTAGGATTTTCGCTCCAGGCTTGCCGGGCCAGGCAGCTATGCCTCCTGTGTTAGCTGCATTATGAGTCACTAGGGACCTGACTGGCGTGATCAACCGCGCCTAAACAAGGTCGCTCTGTATGGCCTAGGGTTTAACGTCAAGGAGCCAGTAAGTCTGCTTGCTGGCAATCAGCCCTAACCCCGACGGAAGTAAACAATAAAAAAAAAGCAGAGTTGGGAGTTGCCGGGCGAATGTTCCATGAATGGGCTACCATGAGGCTGCTGCGCAATCAGAAGGCACTCTCCCCTCTTTATGTAGGTATATAGATAGTTAGATATGTACGCCTATACATATGTAAAGGATAAGAGGGATTTGTTAAAGGATGAACGTGCATGGAATTATACTTCGTACTGCATTCCTTAAGGAATGCAATCCAACGGCAAGGATAGCCGGTTGTGCAGTTGCAAATGACATTCTTATGAGTTGCCGGTGGTACTTCAGCATGGTGTAAGGGCGGTATGTGGGGTTTGGCAGAAGAGGACTTCCATCGCACACAGAAGTAGAAGGGCCTCCTGTTGCCGTTGACAGTTGCTTCTGGAGCTGCTGCTGACTGCCTACTGGCGTAACGTGGTAATCGAGGGCCAAACGCAGAGCTGGGCACTGTATTTGAGGTTCGTTCCTTGCCTGGGCTTGCGTGCTTGTGTGTGCTGTCGCCGATTGTTCAACTCGAAAGTGAAGCGATTTTGAAGCATTTCACTTTGTTGTGTGTGAGCCCAGGCTGCTTTCTGATGGTCAAATAATTGTATAATAATTGCCTAAAATGTTACTATACGAAGCAGACGGGTGGTTGAACGCTCTTTCATGTGAGGTTGCCCTGCGCCAGTAGTTGCAGCAAGGCTCAGTGCAACTTATGGCAAGCCTTCTCCTCTTCACAGCAGCTCCAGGTGTGCCCCTGCCCGAGGTACACCTGAGGAGTGGACGGCATGCCAGCTCCATTTGAAAGCTCTTATCACAAGTACTTTGACTATCTTGACCCACCTGGCTGTCTAACATCACGGGGCTTCTTGACACTTGAATCACCAACAGCCAAACCCACACCTACAGTTGGGCAGCCTGCAGCAGCTCCGTGATAGGCTGTGAGGGCTCTACGCCCAGGAAAATACGTTTTTAAAGGATATCTTCCCCAAACTCTTATTCAGAGATTCAGTATTTTCCGCATTCAAAGGTGATTGATCAGGATCTGCCTACCAGGGGTTGACTGCCAATCTCTGAGCGCCTCA